TTCCCCGTTCCACCCTCACTCACACTGGACACTATTCCCCAATTCCCTGTTCCACCCTCACTCACACTGGACACTATTCCCCAATTCCCCATCCCTCCATCCCTCACACTGATCACTATTCCCTAATTCTCCATCCCTCTGTCACTCAAGCTGGACACTATTCCCCAATCCCCCATCCCTCTGTCGCTAACACTGGACATTATTCTCTAAACGCCTTCGCTCTGGATTCTGTGCCCCTCACCCTCCCTTGCTCTGGACACTGTGCCCCCTCAATCCCCCTCCCTCACTCGCGCTGGACACTATTCCCTAATTCCCCTTCTCTCTCTGGATACTATGGGGAGGTGATGGCTTTGTGGTATTATCACTGGACTGTTAATCCACAGACCCAGACAATGTTCTGGGGACCCGGTTCGAATCCCGCCATGGCAGATGGTGGAATTTGAATTCAATAACTATCTGGAATTAAGAATCTAATGATGACCATGAATCCACTGTCGATTGTTGGAAAAACCCATCTAGTTCACGAATGTCCTTTAGGGAAGGAAACCGCCATCCTTACTTGGTCTGGCCTACATGTGACTCCAGACCCACAGAAATGTGGGTGACTCTTAACTGCCGTCTGGGCAATTAGGGATGGGCAACAAATGCTACCTGCCCAGTGACGCCCTTATCCTGTCAACGAATAAAGGAAGATACTGTGCCCCTCACCCTTCCTTGCTCGATACACTCCGCTCCCTAATCCCCCTCCCCTGCTCACTCTAAAGCAATTAATCCTGGGTTAAACTCGAAAATGCTGGAAACACCATGTGAGAGACAGTTTTAATGTTGTAGGTCAAAGATATTTTAGTTTGAATTGAGCAAAGCTTAGGAATTAATAGGTTTTTACTGAACACAATGGGAGGAACGCAATTCAAAACAGAAGGCACCGGATATAGTGCTACACAGAAGAGACTAAACTGCAAAATACTTGGTTAAAGTAAATAAAAATAATGTTAATTGAAAAAGGGAAGAAAGAGATGTGTTCAGAGGAGATATGCACAGGACAACAGAATCCTCACTAAAAGGTGAAGCCCTGAAACACAATCTAAAATAACTGAACTGCATGTGCAGTCAAGAAGATGTATGTGTCGAATTGAAATGGGGAGGGTGACGGGAGCTCAGAATTAAATAGGGAGAGGAGGGGTGGGGCTGGGGAAGGTAGGTGGGATGGTGATAGGTGAGTGCAGGTAGGGAGTGGTGGGGTCAGTGGGATGGATGAGGTGGATAGGTGGGAGAGAAGATGGACAGGTCAAGGAGGCTGGGATGAGAGGGAAGGTTGGTCATTGGATGAGGCCGGGAGTGGGGAGATTTTGAAACTGGTAAAATCCATATTTAGACCATTGGGCTGTAGGCTCCCAAGGCAGAATATGAGGTGTTGCTCCTTCAGTTTGCAGGTGGTGTCATTGTGACACTGGAGGAGCCCCAGGATGGACATGTCACCCAGGGAGTGGGAGGGGGAGTTGAAATGGTTCGCGACCGGAAGGTGTTGTTGGTTGTCGCACACAGAGTGCAGGTGCTCTACAAAAGTTTTGGTCTCACCGATGTAGAGGAGGCCACATCGGGAGGAGCGGATGCAATAGACCACATTGACGGATGTGCAGGTGAACCTCTGTCTAATGTGGAAGGTTTGTTATGAGCCTTGAATGGAAGTGAGGGGGGAGGTGTAGGGGCAGGTGTAGCACTTCCTGCAGTTGAAGGGAAAGGTGCCGGGGGTCGTGGGGTTAGTGGGGAGTGTGGAGCAGACAAGGAAGTTGCAGAGAGAGCGGTCCCTATGAAAGGCAGATAGGGGTGGGCAGTGGGGAGGGAAAATATTTCTGGTTGTGGCGATTGCAGATGGCGGAAGTGGCAGAGAATGATACATTGGATCTCTGCTGTCCTGCTGAGAGAGAGGGTCATAGGCACCAAGCGCTATACACTTGTCCCTCTGACAGACAGAGACACTAGTCACTGTACAGCTGTGCCTCTGAGAGAGAGGGAGACATCGGACTCTAATTACCTATCTTCTGATATCTTCAGGAGTTGCAATTGAACAGATTTGAATTTGGACAGATTGGATTGACAGAAGCTATGTATCACTAGTGATAGAGAATCTGTGCTCTCTGATTGGTTCCGCCCCAGTCTCTCAACACTTCATAATGACAAAAACATCCTGGACAAATATCAAAGTGATCAAATCCGAGCTAGTCTAGGAGCCAGGTAAAACAAACAACCACCACTTCATGCTGGTGGCTCTCGTTTCTCTAGCCTATCTGCGGAAGGGAAGGGAGAAGAGGAGGGAAAGGAGGTGGGGGCCAGGAGGGGGAGAAGGGGGAAGGGAGATAGAGGAGGGGTTGGGAAGGAGACAGAGAAGGGAGAAAAGAAATAAAGGAGAAGTGGGGGGCAGGAGAGAGGGAGGGAAGCAGAGAGAGATAAGGAGGCAAGGACAGAGAGCAAAGGGAGTGGGAAGAGATACAGCAAAAGAAGAAGGAACGAGGGAGAGATGTGGAGGGGATGAACAACGAGATGTGGGGTCGGGGGGAGAGACGGGTGAAAGGAAAGACAGAGCAAGAGAGAAGTGGGGCAAGAGACAGAGAAGGTTGAAAGGAGAGGGGGGGAGAGAGAATTAAAGCAGAGAGAGATGGAGAGGAGGGCCGTGGGAAGGAGAGACAGAAGACAGAAGGAGATAAAGAGAAGAGGGAGGGAAGTGGGGAAGGAGGGAGGGAAGTGGGGAAGGGGACAGAAGGGGGAAGGAAGTGAAGAGAAAAGGGGTGAAGCAGAGAGAAAGAGACAGGGAGACAGACAGACAGACACAGAAGGGGGTGAAGGAGAGAGAGATAAGGATGGAAGGAGAGAGGGAGAAGAGACTGAAGTAGAGGCAGGGAAAAAGACAGAGAGAAATGGAAATGGAAGGAGAGAGAGGAAGGGGAAGTGGAAAAGAGGAGAGGGAAAAAGAGAGAATGGGGAGGGAGACAGAGTCAAAGGGGAAGGAGAGGAGAGAGAGAGAGAGAGAGAGAGAAGGGGGAAATGAGAGGGAAATGGAAGTAGAGAGAAAGGGGAGGAGACAGAGACCGAAGGACAGAAGTAGACAAACAGAAGGAGGGAAGGAGAGAGAGGAGGGTAGGAGAGATAGGAGGAAGTAATGGGAGAACGAAGGAGAGAGAGAAAGGAGGGGGTGAAGCAGAGAGAGAGGAGGGGGAGGCAAGAGACAAGGGAGGAAGGGGAAGAGCAAGAGAGGGGAAGAGCAAGAGAGGAGAGGAGAAGGGGGAGGGAAGGAGAGGGAGAGAGGGAAGAGCGATGAAGGAGAGAGACAGAGACAGAGGAGGGGGAAGGGGGAAGGAACAAAGGGGAAACAATAGGTTCAAAGGCAAAATGAATGGCTCTTTACTTGAATGCATGTAGTATTTGGAACAAAATAAATAAATTAGTGGCACAAATTCAGGTTAATGATCTTACAGCTATTATGGAAACATGGTTACAAGGAAATCAAACTGGAAACAAAATATTCAGGGCTATGTGACTTTTTTAAAGGAAAGGCAGGAAGGAAAGGGTGGTGCAGGAATGTTGTTAATTTGAGATGTAATTACTATGTTCACAAGAAATGGTCTTGGATCAGAAGATGTAGAATCCATCTGAATGGAGATAGCAAATAAAAAGGGAAAGAAGACACCAGTAGGAGTAGTCTACAGGCCTCATAATGGTAACTGTTTGGTAGAACAGAGAATAAATCAGGAAATAATGAGGGCGTGTAAAAAAGACAGAAAATTAATCATGGGCAACTTTAATCTTCATGTACATTGGGAAAATCAAATTGGTAGAGGAAGTCACAAAGAAGAAGTTATGGAGTGTATCTGGAATATTCTTCAAGAATAACGTGAATCCAACCAGGGATCAAACTATATTGGATCTGGTAATGTGCAACGAGGTAAATTTAATTAATAATCTCAGAATAAAAGATTTCCTTGGCACAGTGACCATAACATGGTAGAATTTAGCATTCACGTTTGAGAGTGAGATATCTTGGGTCAGAAACCACTGTGCTAAACTTAAATAAGGCTAATTACACAGGAATGAGGATAGATTTGGTTGGAATGGGTGAGGAAGGAGTTTAGTAGAAAAGACAGTTGATGAACAATGGCAGACATTTAAACAGATAGTTCATAACTCACAGCAGATATATATCCCAGTGAGGAGGAAGTGTTTTCAGAACAGGATAGACCAACTAGGGTTAACCAGAGAAGATGGAGGAGTGGAGAGTGAGGAGGAAATAAGGAGATGAGAAGAAGGCCCCTTAAATGAGGCCAGATGGGTAGAAATTCAATAAGAAACAAAAGGGGGAATCATATTGTTAGGAAACTAGTATAGACCCTCAAATAATCAGGGATAAACAAAAGAACTGCAGGTCAGTGAGTCTAACATCAGCGGTAGGGCAATTCAAGGAAAATATTCCGAGAGACAGAATTAATCTCCATTTGGAAGCCAATGGTTCATCGAGGATAAGTCAGCATGGCTTTGTTGGGGGAGATTGTATATGAGAAATCTGATTGAACTTTTCAAGGTGACTCGGTATGGAGGTGACGGTAATGCAGTTGGTACAGTCAACATGGAGTTCAGTAAAGTTTTTGACAAAAGACTGGTTAAGAAGCTAAGAGCCCATGGGATCCAGTGCAATTTGGCAAATTGGATTTAAAACTAGGTTCATGGTAGGAAGCAGAGCGTGCTGATCAAAGGGTGTTTTGTGACTGGAAGCCTGTGTCTGGTGGTGTACCACAGGGTTTTTTTCTGTTTGTTGTGGGCAGCACGGTGGCTCAGTGGTTAGCACTGCTGCCTCACAGCACCAGGGACCCGGGTTCGATTCCACCCTCAGGCAACTGTCTGTGTGGAGTTTGCACGTTCACCCCCTGTCTGTGTGGGTTTCCTCCGGGTGCTCCGATTTCCTCCCACAGTCCAAAGATGTGCAGGTTAGGTGGATTGGCCATGCTAAATTATCCATAGTTTTTAGGGATGTGCAGGCTGGATGGGTTAGCCATGGGAAACTTAGGGTAGGGGGATGGGTGGGATGTTCTTCAGAGGGTTGGTGTGGACCCATTGGGCCAAATGGCCCATTTCCACACTGTAGAGATTCTATGATAATGATCTAGACGTGAAGGAAGGAGGTATGATCTGTAAGATCACAGACGGTACAAAAATTGATGGGGTGGTAAATAGTGAGGAGGATAGCTCCAGATTACAGGAGGATATAGAGGGTTAGTCAGATGGATTGATCAGTGGCAAATGGACTTTAATCCGGATAAGTATGAGGTGATGCATTTTGGGAGGACTAGCAAGACAAGGGAGTACCAATTGAAAGGTTAGACCGTAGGAAGTACAGAGGATGAGAGGGAAATTAATGTGCATAATCATATAGATTCTTGAAGACTGACGGACAGGTAGATAAACCGCTTAAGGCAGCATATGGGAGACTTGCCTTTATTAGTGGAGGTATTGAATACAAGAGCAAGAAGGTTATAACGGAGCCGTAGATACCATTGTTTAGGCCACAGCTGGAGTAGTCTGTGCAGTTCTAGTCAACGTACAATGGGAAGGTCGTGATTACAAGAAAGAGAGTGGGTGCACAGGAGATTCACCAGGATGTTGCCTCGGCTGAAGCGATTCAGCTAAGCAGAGAGGTTAGATAGGCTGGGATTGTTTTCTTTAGAGCAGAGAAGGCTGAGGGGAGTCCTGACTGAGACGTACAAAGTTATGAGGACCATAGAAAGATAGGGAGAAACCTTTCAGTAACCAGGAGGCACTGTTTTGAAGCAATGGGCAGGAGGTTTGAAGAGGATTATAGGAAGAATTCTATCTAGAGTTCACTGTCTAAAAGAATATCACAATATTTAATAAGTATTTAAATGATCACTTGAAGCACCATGGGAATAGAATAGATAGACGTTTGCTCACTGGCATGCACAATATGGGCCAAAGAGCCTCATTCTGTGCTGGAAAACTGTTTGATTCTATGAGAGATAGGAATGGTGGGGGTTGGCAATCTAAAGAGAGAGACAGACCGCTAAAAAGTGAGGAGAGATGGGAGAGGAAGGAAAGAAAGGAAGTAGATGGAGAGAGAGAGAGAGAGACAGAGAGAGAGAGACAGAGGGGGAGGAGTGAGAAACTGAGAGGGGGAGGAGAGAGAGAGGAGTGGCAAAGGTGAGGGAGACATGGAGCAGGAGACAGAGAAAGTGGGAGAGCGGGTCAAAAAGAGGGGCACAGAGAGATGGGATACAAACAGCGGCGGGGAAGAGCAACAGAAAGAGAGAGAGAGAAAAACACAGAGAGACAGAGAGGAGAGAGAGACAGAGAGGAGAGAGAGACAGAGAGGAGAGAGAGACAGAGAGGAGAGAGACAGACAGAGAGAGAGACAGACAGACAGAGAGAGAGAGAGACAGACAGAGAGAGAGAGAGAGAGAGAGAGGAAGAGGTCCATTCAAGAATGACAATTCCCTGATCACCCAGCATACATTAAAAGTGAATCTCATTCAGGTTTTCAGTAATCTTGCCACCATACCTGGTGTAGCTGGACGGCTGACAATGGGATTTGAACTGTTCCTGTGGGAGCAGTGAGCACAACCTGAGGGACACCACCTGCAAGAGACCACAAGTAACTCGATGTAAACTCCAAGGCTAGGCTGAGATCTTCAACCACATTCTTTACCAGCCTTCACTTCCAAATGCTTCCTCTACCTCACACTGGCTTTGTCATCATGTTCCTCAGAAATGTTTGATCTTATTCAATCTCAGCTCCAAAGTTTTACTCCTGCTTTGCAACATTCCAGCACCCCCCCCCACCCCCACCCATCCCGGCGATTGCACATTTACAGCATTTATGGCCAATCCCTAATTGCCCAGAGGGCAGTTCAGAGTCAACCACATTGCTGTGGGTCTGGAGTCACATGTAGGCCAGACCAGGTAAGGATGGTAGTTTCCTTCCCTGAAGGACATTGGTGAACCAGGTGGGTTTTTCCGACAATCGATAATGGATTCATGGTCATCAGTAGATTCTTAATTCCAGATATTTTATTGAATTCAAATTCCACCATCTGCCGTGGCAGGATTCGAACTCGAGTCCCCAGAATGTTATCTGGGTCTCTGGATTAACAGTTCAGCGATAATACCACTAGGCCATTGCGTCCCCAATGCAGCCATACATTCGATAGGTGGACCCGAATGACACCGACCAATGCAGGCAATCCACCACTTTAAACTCCACATGTGGAGGTTTCAGCAAAGGGAGGGGAAGGGACAAGAAAAGAGATCGGGATTGGAGTTGTGGGGGCAAAGAGATTGGGACAGAGGATAGTGGTACTGGTTATGGGGGAGATGGACATCGGACTGGGGTATTTGATTAGAACTGGGGATGGGGGGAGGTTTGGAGATTTGAGATGGGGGAAGGGAAGATATTGGAACAGGCTGGGGGCAGGAAGAATAGCAATCAGAATGAGGGGGGAAGGGGCCGGGGGTGGGGGGGCTTCGGGGGTTCAGGACTGACCTCCTGGCTCCTGAGCCCGCCTTGGGTCAGTCCCTGATGGGTGCAGGGCTCTCACTGTCAATCCCAGCCCCAGCTTCTAGGTTCCCTTCCCTTCTCACTCCATGTATTCCCCTTCCTGTGTGCAGCATCCCTTAGCCCACTCAATCCCAGTTCAAAATTTCCTTCACTGTGGCCCCAACCCTTCACCTTCTGTCTGATGGTTTGCTGCACTATGGACTTGACCTTTCATGTGGGCTATCATTTCTCAAAGCTTTCCTACCACCGACATTAAACTAATTTGCCTGTAGGAGACGGGTTAATCCCCCTTTTGATAAAAGAACATTTACTATTCTACAGTGTTCTGACACCACCTGACTTCCAGAGGTTTGTGACCAGACCCCCTTACAATGCTCAATCTCCTCAGATGCCTCTAATCTGTTCCTGATGATGTAGCTACTTTAGGTTAAGTCAGCTGTCCTCTTTGTCAAATGTTAGCCTTTCAGTGTCTAAACACCCTCCTCTTTCTCTATGACCATGGCATCACCTTCTTAGTAAAGACAAGTGCAAAGTACTCATTTCATACTTTAGCCATACTCTCTGCCTCCATGTGCAAGTCTCCATTGTGGCCCTCTCTCCATAAGAGAACTTTAAAAGGATTCCCTTTTGTTTTACATTGGTTGCCTGTATCTGTTCATACTCTCTCTTTGTTGCTCCTGTCTTCCCTTTTGCATTACCTTTCTGAACTTTCTACATCCAGCCTGACATTGTAGGATTGATGTGACATCTATCACAGTGCCCTTTTTCTAACTCACTCTACTCTTCCTCTGTCACCACTCAGGGGCCAATGCTTTATTCACTCTACTTTTTGATATGTGGAAATGTAGTGCCACTGTATCCCAAGTTGTTCCTCTTTAACAGCAGCCCTTGTTCAATTACAGCTTTTCCTACCAATTTTAGATTACACATTCCCTGGGTCAGATCTGTTTTCATTCTATTATTCATAGTCATAGATTCAAACAGCGCAGAAAAGACCCTTCAGCCCAGCAAGTCCATACTGACATAACTACCACTAAAAGGTGCACTAATTCCAATTTTGTGCACTTGCCCCATATGTTATGATATTTGAAGTGCTCATCCAAATATCTTTTAAAGATTGTAAGGTTTCTGGCCTCCACTACGTTCCCAGGCAGCACATTCCAGACTTCCACCACCTGCTGAGTGGAAAAAGTATTTTTTAAAATCCCTTCTGAATCTCCTGCCTCTTACCCAAAAACTATGCTTCCCTGTGATTGATCCCTCAACCAAGGGGAACTGCTGCTCTCCGTTCACCCTGTCTATACCCCTCATAATCCTTTACACCTCAATCATATCCACCCTTAGTCTTCTCTGCCCTAAAGAAAACAACCCAAGCCTATCAGTCTCTCCTTACAGCTCAATTTCTCCATCCCAGGCAACATCCTGGTGAACCTCCTCTGTAACCCCTCTGGTGCTATCAGATCCTTCCTGTAGTGGGGTAACCAGAACTGCACACAGTACTCCAGTTGTGGCCTGACCAACGCTCTATACAATTCCAACATTACCCCCTTGCTCTTATACTCTATGTCACAACTGATGAAAGCAAGTGTCCCATATCCATTCTTAACAATCCTATTCACATTGTCGCTCTGCTGACTTCAGGGATCTATGAATAATTACCCCAAGATCACTCTGTTCCTTTCAGCTACCCAATGTCCTGCTATTCATTAAATACTCCCTCATCTTGTTTCTTCTTTGAATGAATTAATGGACGAATATTGAATATTCAATGAGCCCTCTTTCAAGTCCTAATTTTTACTCTTTGTTGCTCCCTGTTTTATTTCGCAGCCTGGGTTTTGTTCAGGTAAAACTCCTCCAGCAGAAACAGATCCCAGCTTCCCCACTAGCAGATTCAAACAGGCCTATGCTCCAAAGTCATCCCTCTGGTACCATCTCTCTAGGCAGGCATTCAGCTGCTCAATCTTCCTGTTTCTGATCTCACTTGTATGTGTAACCAGGGATAATCCAGAGATTACTAACTCTGGGGTCCTGTTTACTAGTTTTTAATGCAGATTTTAAAAACCTGCCTTTAGGATCTCACCCCACCTTCTCTCAATGTTGTGGGTACAAATGGGACCATGACTACCGGCTGTTCACAACCCATCCCTCAGGACGTTCTACACCCCCTCAGATACACCTTCCCCATGGCACCTATCATGGACAAACAAACACTTGCATGTTCCCTTAACTGTAACATTCCCAATTCCAATCCCTTTGCCAGCCTTCCTCCTGTATGGCTGAGCCAGAAGTGCGGTGGACTGGGCTCTAGCTCCTTGCTTCAATGGAGCCATCGCTCTCCTCAGTATTTACAGTGAAAAACAGGTTGAAGAGCAAGACGCACTCCAGGAACTCCTGCACTGTTTTATCTGATTCTCCTTCAGTGCCTGGTGGCCAATCATTCCTTCTTACTTGTTGGCACAGCCTGATGCTGCGGAGTGAGCTCTTTCAGAAAAGTGTTTCCACAAAGATTTGAAGCAGCACAGCTCTGTCGTACTGGCTGCTGAACTACAGAAATACAGAGCTCACATAGCAACCGGCAACATGCACTGTTCCACGAAATAAACAGCACATGCACAGGATGCACATTTTATGGGACTGAAATGCCCTGACACAGTTCTTTATTTTAGACTGACAGAGCAAAAATAAACTCGGATAAAACTTAAATAGCAAACATTCGCTGGAATCCTGAGAAGGGATAGGGGAGTGAGACTAATCAGATATAATAGTTTCAAAGAACAAATGCCAACAAATATCCTCCTCTGTGCTAAAAGATCCTGTGGCTTTTCAGCCTAATGTCTGAAGCAGTTTCTGCATTGCGCATTGGGAACTACAAATATTCAAACTCAAGTCAACAAGGGAACTTCGAAACTTGAAAAAGGAGTAAGCTTTTTAAAAAGGAGTAAGAGTCAATTTAAATTCACTCTTCATGATGAAAAGGAACGTGTACAAACACAATCCTTGACCAGTCCAGACATGCTTCATGTCTCTAAGGATGGGACTTGATAGTCCTGCCAAACCCTGCTTATTACTGCATGAAGAATTGCCTTTAGAAGGAGACCCTGTTAATGATCAGTCATGACCTTACCCTGCTCTTGCATCTGGCCGTGAGACACCTGCATACCCGAAGAAGGCTGAGAAAAGGCGTTGAGAACTGTGAGTCCGCCATCAGACAGGCCGGGACTGGAGGTCGTGTACATGACCGTACCATGTGGGCTGGGGTACATCACGTGACTGGCCATCGAGGTGGGTACAGACGACGTGACGATTGTTGCTGGCAGTGTCACTGACAAACCAAGAGGAAAGGGTTTGAACGTTTAGAAACTGTGCAGTCACTTTGATCACATGGCTCGATGTGCAAGACTATCATTCCCAAGGGAGGCACCTCACAGAGAGGGTAAACACAGCTCTCACGGGATACAGCTCTCTACATGGAAGGTATGGCAATCAGACAAAAAAGGGTTACTCAGCAGACTTTACCCAGACTAGGCTCGTATTTCGTTTGAATTTAAAGATTATGGGTGAACTCACATGTTTAAGACAATTAAAAGAGTTGAGAGAGTAAAGAGAGAGAGAAATTATTTCCTTTTCTTTCAAAGTCCAGATCAAGGAGCATAATCGACAAATCTTTGAGCTAGACCATTAATGTCTGTCAGGAATCACACTCACAGACTCACAGAGTCCAGAAGTCTCTTGTTAAAAATCTGTTTTGTACGGATTTATTAAGTGTTAAGGGTTTAACTCAACACTTCAAAACAAAGATTGTTAGACTTTTGTTGGGCAAAGAGCAAAGGTTAGAGATCCATGACAGAGCTGCAGTTAATGTACAGATCACCCATGACCAGGCTGAAAGGGCAGACCAACTACTGTCTCACTACTTGATGCAGACAGAGAAGCACATTCCCCACATAGTAGTCTGAAGGACAGTAACTGTAAAGGACAAAAATAATTCCTCTGCCTTACAATTACACTTCAGCAGATTGTAGGGATGTTTCACCAACAACATCTCTCTCCATGGTTTCACCAAATTCCACCAGGAACACAGTCTACATGGGAAGAGAAGATGACAGGCTATCCCTGTCTGGGTGAACTATTACCAGCAGCTGAGGTTTTTGTAGCTTAAACTTCCTTCCATTGCTCAGGGCTGGAGAGACCGAGAGAGACGGGAACTTGGGGCGAGGAGCGGAGTAAGTACTGACACGCTCCCGGAGACCTCCTGTGAGCATGGACATGGACAGGGACAGGGTGCGGGGTTGGACAGGGACAGGGTGCGGGGTTGGACAGGGACAGGGAGTGAGGAAGGTAGGCACTGGGAGCGATTTTGGACAAGCACTGGGAAAAGGCCTGAAAAGCTCTCTATGTGATCTAGGTAGGCGGGCAGTGCTTACTTGCTCCGCTGGTTGAGGCCTGAGAAATCTCGGAGTTGCTGTCGCTGGTAGATGGCGTGTGTTGCGTAGACTGGTGCACGCTCACCTGCCCCGAGGCTTGGTGTAACTGAATCGTCTGTACTGGAACCTGTTGGGCCATTGCACCACCTGGTCAGAGAAAGAGAATCAAGAAGGAAATAAAGACAAGATCTAATCTCATGCACTAATGTCACATTCTGCTCTTCTCTGCATCAAGATCAAGGACGAAGAACTAATACTCCAGACAATCTCTGGGGCTGTGTCAGTATGTACAGGCCCCGCCCCCTCCCCCAGGAGTGTGTCAGTATGTACAGGCCCCGCCCCCTCCCCAGGAGTGTGTCAGTATGTACAGGCCCCGCCCCCTCCCCAGGAGTGTGTCAGTATGTACAGGCCCCGCCCCCTCCCCCAGGAAAGTCAGTATGTACAGGCCCCATCCCCAACCCAGGACTATGTCAGTATGTACAGGCCCCGCCCTCTCCCCAGGACTGTGTCAGTATGTACAGGGTTCCCCCCCCGCAGGAGTATGTCAGTATTTACAGGGTCCCCCCCGGGAGTGTGTCAATATTTACAGAGATCCCCCCCTGGGAATGTGTCAGTATTTACAGGGCCCCTCATCCCTGAGGAGTATGTCAGGATTTGCAGAGGGTCCCCCCAGGAGGTTATCAGTATTTATTGGATGGTCCAGGTGTATCAGTATTTACAGGGTCCCCCCCAGGGATGTGTCAGTATTTACAGGGTCCCCCCCAGGAATGTGTCAGTACTTACAGGGCCCCTCATCCCCGAGGATAATGTCAGGATTTGCAGAGGGTCCCCCCAGGAGTTTATCAGTATTTATCAGATGGTCCAGATGTATCAGTATTTACAGGGAGCCCTCGGAGAGTGTATCAGTGTTTACAGGGTGATTCCAGAAATGGGTTAGTATTTCCAATGCCATCATGTCCATAAGACATGAAGAAAGACCATGTATACTTTTAAAAGCTGTACGTTCTTGCTTAAACATTAAATGGAATCTTTTTAGAATACGATTGTAGCCAATCACATGATGCAAATTGACTACAGAAGTTTCAGAAGTTACTAAGACAGAACTCTCAGATCCTGTTCCTGGACTGTCACATAAAGGTTCACTGTGTGGACTAGTAGATGAGATGTTACCCTGCCCAGTTCTAAATAAAGGATAGTTATTGAAACTCATCATGCCTGAAATGATGCTCACACCTCATCATTGATCTCATAGAAATGAATGATGGAATAAAACAAAAAGTGCTGTAAAAACTCAGCAAATCTGGCAGCATCTATAGTGACAGAAACGGAATTAAAGGTTTCAAACATTCTGAAGAATTGTGATGGACTAGAAAAGATAATTTGTTTTTCTATCTCCACAATGCTGACAGACGTGCTGAATTTATCGAGCAATTTTTGTTTTTTATTTCAGATTTCCAATATTTTGTTTCTAGTCAAATGAACAATAGTCTTGGGTCAGAGAGAGACAGAAATCAATTATTACTTACAAAGTACTGGGTTAAGTTCAAACTGGCACATCCAGAACTCTATTGCATAACCAGGATTCCTGGTCATTGAAAAAAGGCAGAACTGCATATCTACTGACCCTTGGCTCGAGTGTGACAAGCATGTGAATTGGACATTATTAGTGAATGCCAGGAAGAGCGTCAGTAATTCCAGGGGAGTCTCGGGAAGAGCGTCAGTAATTCCAGGGGAGTCTCGGGAAGAGTGTCAGTAATTCCATGGGAGTCTGGGAGAGTGTCAGTAATTCCAGGGGAGTCTCGGGCAGAGTGTCAGTTAGTCCAGCCCTGTTGATCCTGCAAAGTCCTCCTTCCTAACCTCTGGGACTAGTGGGAAAGCTGTCTCAGAGATTTTTCAAGCAACAGCCCAACATTCTCAGCAATGTACAATTCTGTAGTATGACTGTGTCCCAGACACCACCATCACCATCACCATCCCAGGATATGTCCTGTCCCACCGACAGTACAGGCCCAGCAGAGGAGGCGGCACAATGGTACACAATCAGAGGGGAGTTGAAGAGTCATGGCATCAAGTTAAACATGGGTAAGGTAACCTCTTGTTGGTTACCACTCTCTCGGCTGATGAATCAGTACTCCTCCATGTTGAACAACACCTTCGAGGAAGCACTGATGGTGGAGAGGGCACAGAATGTATTCTGGGTGGGGGGCTTCAATGTCCATCACCGAGAAGTGGCTCAGTAGCAGTACTTCTGATTGAGCCAGTTGGGTCCTAAAGGACACAATTGCCAGAGTGGGTCTGCAGCAAATGGTGAGGGAACCAACAAGATGGGAAAAACAGACTCAAATCTCATCCTTACCAGCCCCTGTCCATGACAGTATCAGAAAGAGTGACCACCTCACAGTCCTCAAAATGAGATGTCAACCTGGCAAAGCCACTAAACAGGACTACTTGCACGCCAAACAGCATAAGCAGCAAGTGACACACAGAGCCAAGTGATCCCACAGCCAACGGATCAGATCTAAGCTCTGCAGTCTTGCCACATCCAGTTGTGAATGGTGGTGGACAATTAAACAACTCACTGGAGGAGGAGGCTCCTCAAATATAGCCATCCTCAATGATGGAAAAGCCCAATGCATCAATGCAAAAGACAGGCTGAAGCTTTCACAGCAATCTTCAGGCAGAAATGCCAAGCGGATGATCCAACTCAGTCACCTCTAAAGGTACCCAGCATCACAGACACTAGTCTTTAGCCAATTCGATTCACTCCACATGATATCAAGAAATGGTTGGAGGCACTGGATAGTGCAAAAGCTATGGCCCTGACAACATTCCAACAATGGCACCGAAGACTTGTGCTCCAGAACTTGCTGCTCTCCTAGCGAAACTCTTCCAGTACAGTTACAACACTGGCATCTACCCAACAATGTGGAAAATTGCCCAGATATATCCTGTTCACAAAAACACAGCTAATTACTCCATCAGACTAGTCTGGATCATCTGTAAAATGATGGAAGGTGTCATTAACAGCGCTATCAAGCAGCACTTGCTCAGTGATGCCCAGTTTGGGTTCCGCCAGGGCCACTCAGCTCCTGATCTCATTACAGCCTTGGTTCAAACACAGACAAGAGCTGAATTCCAGGGGTGAGGCGAGAGTGACAGCCCCTGACATCAAGATCGCATTTGCTTGAGTGTGGCATTAAGGAGCTCTTGCATAAGTGGAGTCGATGGGAATCGGGGTTTGGGGGGTAAAACTCTCCATTGGTTGGAGTCATACCTGACATACAGCTCCAGTACATCTCTGCAGGAGTTCCTCAGGGTAAGTGTCCTAGGCTCAACCATCTTCAGCTGCTCCATGAATGGCCTTCCCTCCATCATAAGGTCAGAAGTGGGGATGTTCGCCGATGATTGCAGAGAATGTTAAAGAACTATTCAGCACTTCTCAACTACTGAATGCAACAAGAGCTGAACCATATCCAGGCTTGGGCTGAAAAGTGGCAAATAACATTCATGCCACACAAGTGCGAGTCAATGACCATCAGAACAAGACACAATCTAACCATCACCATCACCGAATCCCCCACCATCCACATCCTGGCGGTTACTATTGACCAAAAACAAAACCTATTCCTAACTTTCTTTAATGGAGAGACTTGGTCATTGCCTACTCTATCTTAACAAGCGGAAATTCAGAATTCAGTGAGATGTCAAGGCACTATGACTGGGTCTATCTTACAGCTGCAGCCTAGGAGACACAATCTTTGTTCACTTGTTACACTCCTGACCCCACATTGTCTGGCACCTCTCCCTGTCTTCGAGCTTCAAGCCAGCATGGATGGCCAGAACACCCAATCTCATCAGTCCAGGGATCATCAGGAGGAGCACAAGCCTCTTCACTACATCAAGGTTCACTTTCTAACAGTTCTTATTCTCCCCTTCATATCTCACCCTGACCCTGCCTTTCAGTACCTGTCACCTCTCCCAGCCCTACAACACTTCAGGATGTTTGTGTCCATCTCATTCTGGCTCCGAGAATATCTCCAATTGGAATCATTTCTGTTCCATCGCTGTGGTCTTGGCCTTTGCTGTCTCAGTCCAAAAAACTCCGGAAATCCCTTCCTCACTCTTCTGTAGGACCTTGCTCCTCACTCAAAATTCTGCTTGACTCGATTTGAAGCGTGTTGGTGTCAAATTTCCTTTTGACAATCATTTCTGTGGAATGCCTTGTGATGTTAAAGATGGCATACTTAGCAAAATTCTGTCAGTGTAAGAGATTAACTCCCCTGCTGCAAATTCTGGGTCTTTGCGCATTGGATCCATTGCTGAATTGGTTATGACAGATGGACTATTCAGTGGGCTCCTACAATCTCACTGGGAAATCTGGTCCAGCTCCTATCTGGGAATTTCTATGTAAAAATGTTTGTGACACACACATTTCACTCAGCGATAGTATCACAACTCCCTTTCGGCTGGTTAGCCTCTCCAAAGCTGCCTGAACATCTTCTGGAGTCCACAAACCTGTGATCTCTGCAGGAATTCCCAGATATTTCAGAAAGACATTTGCAAACATTACTGGGAAGTTTTCTACGATTCACAAACGGAAGATCCATAGGGGTCCTCCCAACCATACTCCCTCACCCTCCCAACCCATACATTCCCCCAGCTAAACCTACACTCTCTCTCACTCACTTCCAGCCCACCCAATTTCTCCCTCTCCTGCCTGGCTCTGCCAAACTGCCCTCACCCTTTCTCCCCATCTCCGCACTTTCTCCTAATCTGCCCTCTATCCCACCCATAGGCTTTCACCTACATCACCCCATCCCATACACCCCAGGCCCTGCCATCACTGAGTGCTCCCAACCTCATACTGAAGTGATGTTTCTCCCTCTACAGGCTCTAACTGCCTCCTCTCCCTAGACACTGTTTAGGTTCTGAGCATCAGAATCAGCAGCAGGACAGACCAATCACTTTCACTGAGCTGAGAGAAGCACACTCGCCTGCAATGGAGACTATTTGTCCGCCTGCAGATGCTGGGAAGCGAAAGACGGTCTGCTGTCCTTGCTGTGACTGACTGGTCACCACCTGACCCTGTTGACCCTGGATGGCCAGGGAATGTTGCTGGAGCTGACCAATCGGGATAGTTGGTGTGCCTTGCAGTGCTGTACCTGTCAGATGGAAAATATACAAACTGTGTGAGTGACCGGAACCACACTCACTCTGGTGGGGATGGGCAAGGACAGAACCGTGGAAACAGGGTAGGAACAGCTTCATGGAGCTGTGCAAAGCAAGCTAAAACTGTATTCTGGATGCGGTTTAGTGTGGTGTAATGGGACCAACAGGTCGTTCATTCAGAAAAACTACATCAGGGTATAGTGAAATGTTGAGAGATGGTTGGGGGAGCACTGGCTAATGAGGGAGTGGGAAGCGCTGGGTAATGGGAGCAGCGCTGGGTAATGGGGGAAGCGCTGGGTAATGGGGGAGGAAGCGCTGGGTAATGGGGGAGGAGGGGGAAGCGCTGGGTAATGGGAGGGGGAATGCTGGGTATTGGGGAGAAGCGCTGAGTAATTGGGGGGGAACGCTGGGTAATTGGGGAGCAGTGCTGGGTAACGGAGTCGCTGGGTAATGGGGGAAGCGTACATAGTGGGGGGAGCACTGAGTAATGGGGAAAGTATGCGTAGTGGGGGGAGCACTGGATAATGTGGGGAGAGCGCTGGGTAATGGGGGCAATGCTGGATAATAAGCTGAACGGCCGAGATTGCAGTAACGTTGACCAGTAAATCCTGGTAACTTCCTAAGCCACATGGGCAACTGTGTGGGAAGGGGTGTAGTTGGTCTAGCAGGGAGGCAGAGGGTGGGAATTGGGGAGGGAACGTGTGGGTTGACAGTGGGGACTGCAGTGGGTGAGCTAAGGGAGGGCAGTCGGTATCAGTGTGGAAGTGTGTGGGCAAGCTGAGGGAGTCAGAGGTGTATGGGTAGGTCTGGGGCAAAGGAGGGGCAGTGAATGGTCTGTCAGGCAATGGGTGTGGGTGTGTGAGTGGGCTGAGGCAGGGGTTCAGAGATGTATGGTTGGGCCTGGGGCAAGGGGAGGAGCGGTGAATGGTCTGTCGAGGGCTGGGACGTGCGAGTGGGCCAAGGGAGTTGAGGGAAGTGTAGATGGCACACCAACCATGATTTATTGGGACAGCAGTACGACCGTGGGTCTAAAATGGTAAGGTTATCTTACACACTCTAGCTTCATATTCTCCTGAATAAAGATTCTGTAGTTCGGAACAGGTTTTGGCCATTCAGCTGATTGAGCCTGCTCTGCCATTTGATCTGATCATGACTGATCTCATTTTAGCCTTAACACTACTTGCCTGCCTCTGTCCTCCTCAACACCTTCACACCCTCAAGAACACCTAGATCCCTCTGTACCACACTTCTGCAATCCCTCTTCATTCAAAACATATACTGCTTTTCAATTTTTCTTGTGAGAGGACAAGTAAACTTCACATTATAATCCATCTTCCACATTTTTGTCCACTCATTTAACCTGCCTATAACCCTTTACTGAGTCTTTACATCCTCATCACAACTTGCTTCCCTTCCCGTCTTGATCTCGTTAGGATATCTGACTGTAATAATTATCCACCCCGTCCGAGTCATTAAGACAGTTAATGCACATAACACTACAACAAGCTAAGAAGCTCAATCCCCTTCACTTGGGCTGTGTTCAGAAGCTGCTGAAGATCAGAGAGCAGGATAAAATCCCAGGCACTGAGCTGACGTCTGTATGACAGGCCAAGAACAAATACCATGTTGAGACAGTCCTTGGTTAGTTGGCCTGGACATGGAGCCAGGAATAAAGCCAATCTTTGCTGGGTAGACTCACGTCTGGGAAGTGCTCGCATGGTGGTCAATGGAAGCACTGCACAGATCACTCTGCAGGCTTCACTTCAGAGTTTGGATAATCAGTTGCCCAGGATCTCAAAGCCTGACACAGCCAAGTAAAAAAAAAATGTGACCTCTTTAACAAACAACCACAGGGCAGAAGCAGGATTGAAATTAGAATCACAGGAAATCCTGAGCCACCACCTCATTCAAAACCCAATTGCCTCCAGTATCCAGTGCCGCTTGCTGCAGAATCTTACAGGTACAGATCAGTGTTAGTAACAACCGATGTCCCATCAGAACATGATCAAACACAGCAGATACAAATCTACATGCTCAGCTGAAGGACCAAAAAGTGATTGGTTCAGAAGTAGTTGAGGCTACAGCACTGAACATGAATCACTCCATTAAGTAATAACCTAAATACGACTCAGTTCTCTTAACTCACCGATACACATTAATTATCCAATCCTCCATCCATCCTAATAGACAATCCTCAAAACCAGGAGCTCTTATCTTGTGTATTAACCTCATAAAATCCAAATGCACTACGTGTAGTGGTACTCCTTTATTGACCCTGCTTGTTACATCTTCAAAGAACTCTAACAAATCTGTCAAATCGAATTGTCTTTCAAGAAGTACATTATACAATTTGATATACTTAATTTTGTAAATAGTTTGCTGCTACATCCTTAATAATGGATTTGAGCATTTCCTAATAACAGATATTGGACTAACTGGTCTGTAGTTTCTACTTCCTATCACCTTCTTTTCTTGAATAGTGATGTTGTATTCACAGTTGTTCAGCTTGCTAGGATCTAGGGAACTTTCAGATTTGTACCAAAGCACCCACTATCTCTAATTGCCTCCTTTAAGATCCTAGGATGCAGACGATCAGATCCAGGGAACTTGTCAGGTTTTAGTCCCATTAGCTTATCCAATACTTTTTTCTCCAGTATGCATGATTGCTTTACGTTCCTCCCTTTTACCTGTTAGATTCTCAGAATGGCAACAACACCGAGGCCACCTGAGGGACAACCTTTTCACACACAAGGATGGTGCGTGTACAGAACAAGCTGCCAGAGGAAGTGGTAGAGGCTGGTACAATTACAACATTTAAAAGACATTTGGACAGGTGCATGGATAGGAAAAGTTTAGAAGGATATGGGCCAAATTCAGGCAAATAGGACTAGTTTTGTTTGGAAACTTGGTCAGCATGGACGAGTTGGACCAAAGGGCTTTTTTCCATGCTGTATGACTCTATGTGATGTTTCCGACAACTCTCTGAGGGAGTTATTTACCAGTACCACTCTGTAATTCTGCACATTCTTCCTTTTCAGATAATTATCTGATTTCTCAGAGAGCTGTGATTGAACCTGCCCTCACCACATTCTCATACAGGTCATTTCAGATCTTAACCAGATCTTTCACTCCCATGTCACCATTTCATCCTATGCCAATTACCTATAAACCATGTCAAATGATTTTTGATTCCTCCACCAGTAGGGACAGTTTCTCCCAAATACTACGTCCAGATCCCTCAAGATCTTGACACCTGTCAGGTTTCCCTTCTATTCTCCAAGGAAAATAATCATGGCTTCAGTTCTAGGGACAGTCTGGAGAAGTTCCACCCCATGAAGCTGCTCTTGAGAACCTTTCCTATGTTCTCTCCACCTTCGCATCTCTATCGAGTTATCAGACAGCGGTTGTGCCTATAAAACACACCCCATCACTGACTTCTTTCCATTGTTGATTCTTTGCTCCAACCAAGCTGGTTCTATATCTTGATCTTCTGGACCAATATCGCTTCTCACTGCACACTGATACCATCCTTTACTAAAAATGCCATGCCACCTTCCTCCTCTTGTTATCCTGTAATTTTGAAATGTAAAATATCCATGAATCTTCAGGCTGTTTGCCCCATGAGTCTGTAACAGTGATCCCATCATTTATTTCTATTTGTGCCATCAACTCAATCCGGCCTGTTGCAAATGTTGCGTAGAATCAGAAAAGCAGCTGCTAATTCTCTCTATTTGACGCTTCTCCACCCTCTCAAGCCTGCTCCATCTCCCCCTCTCTTTCAGTCTCTCTCCTCTCCATCTCTCCCTCCACCCTCTGACTCTCTTGTCCCGCTTCCTCCCTCACCCTCAGTCTTCCCTTTCCCGCCCTTCACCTGAACCTCTCTCTCTCTCTCTCTCTCTCTCTCTCACACACACACACACCTGACATGAGAGTGAATCCACTCGGGAGCTGCACCATGCTGCCAGAAGTGCCTGTACCGGTTGATTTGAAGACGGTGCCGTTGCTATTGGCGATGGCGGTGACAGGAGCAAGGTAGTTGGTGATGGGAAAGTTGTGACCCGTGCTGACCTGGAGATTAGTTGACGTGTTTGAAACTGATTGATTGACGCCTGTGGATCCTGGAACGTTGGCCACTGTGAATGTTGTCGGTTTCAAGTTGTCCTGAGGATGGGATTATCCAAGAATTAAACATAACAGAAGCCAGCATTGAAATTACAATACAAATTGCAGCATACCCTCACAGTGAATTGTGCCTGATTATTGACTGAGACACAGTCTCCAGAAGGTTCCAGTCCCAATACCCAGGCCTTGACTAATTACCAGCTAGAGTGGGGTCTCAGTCCCAGACCATCAGAGGTCCCAAGACCTCCCCCTATCCATAGACCAACCTGTCCCCATGCCGTGTAAAACAGGAGGGGTAGGACACCCTTCGCATCCCAAACACTCAGGATCACAGCATAGGAGGTCATTCTGATGTCTGTGCTGGCTCTTCTTAGAATCAATTTACCCAGTGCCAATTACCATAGCCCTCCATGTCCTTCTTTCTCAATTAATAGCCCAATTCACTTGAGTGGCTTGATTGAAACAGTTGGCATCACAGCTACACATTAAGAACAGCAACATGGAGGAAGGTGGAGTTTTAATGGTTCATTGTATGACTGAGGTGTCTGTCACACAGCTACAATACTGACAGACAGTCTGATCTCACACTGCTCTCAGTTACTTCACAGCTGGCTGACTATTACTCACACAAAAATCTGCAATCTCCTCATTAAATGATGACTAGTGGGGAAAGACTGACATTTATTGTCCAGGAGCATTGCAACAGGAGAACATTGAAACAATTAAACCTCATTTGTCATTCCACTGTCTCCCAACTCAACAAGCTGTGTGTCAGTCAATCTCCATCTATCTTCTAAGGTCCTACAACCCTGAAATACATTTGCTTAATCTAAATATATTAATATTTAACCCTGAAATAGATTAATCTCAGCTTTGAAATGTTAAATCAACTCCCAGTTTCAGGAAAGACAGTTGGAATTTCAATGAGGCTGAATCACGATAACAGCCCAAGCTCCAATTTGAAGGCCCTTATCAGAAAAGCCTTGGATTCATTCTAATTCCTCGCTCCTAATTGTTCTATAACTGATTTGGTTTCCCTTGCTCAACTTTCAACCCAACAACTATGGATGAAAGTGGAATGGCAGAGACAACAGCATGGAGATAAACCACCACCTCAGCTCATTTTGAGTCCAATCAGTGAGGAAAGAGATAAATTCAATTAAACTTTTGATCTTATTTTTCCAAATTGTGGGAATTATGTTGACTCTAGTATTAAGGGTCACTGGACCCAAAACGTTAACTCTTTTTTTTTCTTCACAGCTGCTGCCAGGCCTGCTGAGCTTTTCCAGCAACTTCTGTTTTGTACCTGATTTACAGCATCCGCAGTTCTTTTGGTTTTTATTAGGCTATATGATGCTGGTCTGAGAATTTAACTGTGAATTCCTACTGATTGACTTTCATCCCTGATGAAAAGTTGGAGTAAAATATATCTCAAAGAGAGGCAGCTGACTGAATGAGAACTTAATTTATTATCTTCAACAAAGAAAAGCTACACATCCACCAGCCCAGGAGCAAGTTCTGCCCAGAGAATGCACCAAGCACTCCTTGTCCTGGAGCCCAATATCCTGCACTCTCCCAAATCTCAGTCCCAAGCCCCCACTGTCATCCCCCAGACTCTCTGTGATCCTAATCCCAGCTTTTTTTTTGGGGGGGTGGAGAAGAGATTAGACAGGGCCAGGAGATACTGCAGTTTTGGGGGGATGGGGACAGGAGATACTGCAGTATGGAGGTCAGACAGGGACAGGAGACACTGCAATGGGGAACAAGGAACACTAGTGAGCCAGGACTGTGAGGTTTCAGCGTGTTCACATCCTCAGCCAAAGTAGTGGCAACAATTTTAAGAGCCCACATAAAAATACACTCCAATCAATGTGTTTATTTAACATATGCAGACATGGATATGACAATTGCCTCTTGCTCCTCCAGGATTAAATCCATCTCCTGGTTGTAGTTTACTTGGAATCCCCCTGTTCTGAGCTTGAAATACTGTTCCAGCTGCACTTCATGGCTGTTTAAACAGCTGAAAAATTGCAAATAAAGATCTTTTAAAACAGTTGGAAAAGGAAATATTTAGAACAACGTGTGACAAATTGTAACACATTCTCTCTCCACCGCTCCCCCCCCCCCCCCCCCCCCCCCCCCCCCCCCCCCCCCC